CCTCTTTGTCGCCATCTCTGTTTGAAAACCTGCAATTGCAGCTGTGTGCGGAATTATCTTCCTTGCGTGGGTTGTCCGGCGGCACGGCTCCAGTGCGGATGAATCTAATGTTTTGAGGTGAATTTGTGGCAGTCAGTCACCGCACCGGTGTGGATATTGTACTTTGCACTCACAGATTCTAGCCTACGTCTTGGAATATATGACTAAAATAAGCATTTTCACCGGATATTGTCATCTGAACAAGTAGGCTAAGTAACAAGTCTGCCACGTTTGTTCTGACCAATTCTTCTCTAAAAAAAAAAAAAAAAAAAAAAAAACTGTTCTTTGTTAGTTCATGTTAAGTCAGGCCCATTAAATAATATTAACAATTAAAACTTTTGGTTTACCTAATGTATTATTAAATGGTGAAATTAAAATTAAAAGACTAATACATTTTTCATTATTTCATGTAAACTATTGTAGTTAACTAATGTTAGCAAGAGCATTTGGAAAAGTACATTTGGTTGCTGATATTGTACTCACTGGGTACTCGGTTGATAGCCCGGAGAGGTCGAAGTACTCTGACTGTTCGGACCGCAGAGAAACTAACATTCTGCAGGTTGAGAGAGTATTCCAGCATCCTGTAAACACACAAATAAAAAGAGTTTTAACTTTTAATAAAGCAAGATATTTGATTGTATGCACATAATGAAGACACATTACCCCCCATTTGCAGTGCATCTGTTAATTAATCCACATTTTGGATTTTATTGGAATTCTTAATATCACCTGAAGGCAAAAACTATCTGATTTTTAAACTTTAGTGGCACATTAGTGGCGTGTTTTCTGCCGAACTGCCAGCGCCATACTGTAGATCAATCGAAAGTTATCAGGATTCATCAAACAATTACACTGAATCGTTTTCAATTAGGTCAAAGAGAGGTGGAAGGAAGGTTAATGTAGAGCTTTCGCAAACAAACACATCCACAGCTGCTCTGCACATGTGAACTTCGGTGTGAGGCACATGAAAGAATTGCATGTTTTTGTAGAAAATAAACAAAGTGAGTGTCTCTATGTGCCTGTGAGCTTGCAACCATGTAATTGCAAACCCAATAACCGTTTCTGGCCATAAAACAACTTAAAGAGGGGAAAAAAGTTAGCATTACAGTATGTATCAAGTTAATACACAAAGCTGATGTTGATAAGCATATGCACGTTAATGAGGGTTCTCACGGTCACATGGCCTGCTTAGATTAAAGCTGCGTGATCTGGGGTGTTTCTCCATTCTTTCAAATATGGATCGAGTGAAGTCAGTGACGTGCAAACAGTGCGAGCCCCATTAGCCAAGCAGGGCAGTGAGGAAATGTGTTCTGACTTTGTTACTCCTGAAATGTGCAGAACAGCTTTGAAGGCACTGATTGGGTTTGATGGAAACCAGCTTTCGACTGGACTGCAAAAATAATAACAGTGGTGACTATGACAAAAATTTGAAGGAATGGGAACAGAGAAAACACGAAAATATCAAAAGAGAAGGGGAACACAGGAAATGTATAGGGAGAAAGGGCAGATTTGAGAGAGAGGGACAGAGAAAGAGAAAGCCGTCAACTCGAAGGACAAAATGCCTGTAAAGGAGGAGAGAGACAGGACATGCGTGAGGACACTCCGCAAAAATGTTCCCAGCGAGGTAGGATGTGTCTAAACAAGGAGGACGTGTGTAAATGTGATATCGTCAACCGCCTCTTTACTTCTATCGTACACGCGTATGAATCAGTAATATGGCTGCTCGCAAACACAAACAAAAAGTGAAGTGTCAGGCCCGGCATTTGTCCAGTCAGCACCTAGACCTCACTTCTGTTATCTGTTTGTGTTTGGAACGGCCGTGGTGAAGGATGACACACCTTCCCAGAATCACTCTGTTTCTTGAAAACATGGTCGCACGATCAACAACAGCTCCACGCTGCGTATACAATGCCAGTTGCGAGGTCACTATAATAGGAAAAGTATGAGCGAGCCAAGGGTCTTGGATTCAAAACAAGTGTGGCCTTCCACATCCATTAGAAATCCGCTCGAATCGATCTCCGGCTGCACTCGAGAGAGAGTTAGCGTGCTGTTGTGCCTTGTTTGAACAGCTCCGCAACAGACTATTGAAAGGACTGAAAGACATTTAAATTCCTGCAGCATTAGAAATACCAGCTCTTTTGGGACATACTCCATTTCATACGTTATGAACCAGGGTTGTTCTGTATGATCAATGCAAGATTTGTTGGTTTACATAAAAAGGTTGCAACAGAGTACATGCAGCATTTCAGATGCTTTATGCTTCTCTCTCACTCTCTCTCTCTTTCCTTCCTCTCCAATTTCCTTGTGGTCTTCAAAGCAGCCGTCCTGGCTGCAGTTCAATCAGAGCTTGGTGTCTTCCAACACCTGGCAGGTTAATGAGGGGAGTTTCAGAGGAGGTTCACTTCCGAACAATCAGCTCTCCATTAAGATAGAAAAGGAAGATACCCCTAACAACATGCTCACATAACCTATCCTCCCTTTCCCTCTCAGGGTGTACTCACACCTGTCTTGTTTGGTTCGACTGAATCGAACTCAAGTTCGTTTCCCCTCTTGGTGCAGATCTTTTGGGCAGGTGTGAATAAAGTAATCGCACTCGGGTGCGGACCAAACAACCATACCGAGACGAAGAGGTGGTCTCTGGTCCGATTCCAATCGAACTCTGGTACGGTTCGCTTAAGGCAGTGGTTGCCAACCCGTCGATCAACTGTCCCAGTAGATCCCGAAAAAAAAACAGTAAAATAAATACAAAAATGCATTACATTTATGGGGTTATATTAAGGGAACTGTCTTGAGAAAAGTTTCGATGGCAATGGCATTTTCTTCTCCGTATAAAGCGCAACTCTGCTTTGTTTACAGCGGTAAACAAGGAAACGCTATATTGCAGTTGGTTCATAAGCCGTGTTGCCAAGTCCGCGGTTTTCCCGCGGAATTGGGCTACTTAACACTGTTGCTGCGGGTTGTTGTTCATGTCCGCGGGTTTAAGCGACCCCAATAACGTGATATTTAGTCCCTGGAATGTGAATTTTACTGGAAGATTCCCGCCGAAAAACGTGTCTTTTACCCCCGGAATGCGATTTTTACAGGTGAACCCCCCTCGAAACGTGATTGGGCTAGTTTTATTGCGAAAACCTGGCAACCCTGTTCATAGGCGCCACCTGCTGTCAGAGAGTGCGTCTCATTCAGACCTGCTGTTTTTGTTTCGTGCAGATGTTTTATGTAGCAAATAAATAAATAACACCTAAAGTCAGACCATTCTGTTTTTGTTTTAAATCCTGAAATTAATCTAAATCAAATCAAAAACAACTGCCCGTGCAGATCATGATTAAAATGCAGTGGTTGCCTCTAATTTCAAATGGCTAGATATTTTTGTTTAAAGCCAGTTTGTTTGTTATAAAGCAAATAGCCAATAAAGGTTTAAGGTGTGATTATGACCCGACCTCGATCCGACCCAATTGCAGAAATAACGCTCAGAAACAGACAGCTTGCACATGTAGTGCTGTTTTTTTGAGCTTCGATCACTTGTTTTTAAACCACAATGCTTAAAAATGCATGCAAATTATGAGTTTTCATGACCATGGCGCACACCAACTAAACATGAGCACACAAAATAAAGCTTGCCGCAAAGTTACCATGTATATGTTGGGGGGAAATAGTAAGGATATATTTGAATTATTTATTAATAAACTAGTGTTTTCGGAGTCAGTGTCACAAAGATGAAATTGATGATCCTGACTCGCCATCTCATCATTGGACGCGCCTTTAGAAAGAAATGCATCTTGGATTACATAATGAAAGAGTTTTTGTTTTGGATTTGAATTATTTCATTTTGTAGTCATTTAAAGCTTTCTATAGATATATTCATCATGTCTGTAAGGAAAATATTCGCTGATTTTTGGTTCATTTTTGTGAAGCGCTCCTGCTCAAGACCGAGGCGGCAAGCGCATCCTGTTTGTTTTCTTTATTTTTAAAAAAGCACACATAAAATAGACCCTTTACAGTTCCGAACGATGAATTATTCTTACTTTTATTAGCAAAAATGACGGCGTATTTAATTTGTTTCCACTGATATCCTGAAGCGCGCTTCAGCTTCCACTCTCCGCACAAACAATAGGATATGCGCCTAATAGCGCACATTTATCTAGGTTAAATGTTTAAACTAACATTGTGATATGCTTTAAGTATTTTATATCTATATATTTTATTTTCGGCAAGTTGTAATTACAACATCGTATGACATTGTCTCATATGATGCTCATAAGTTTCTTCATATTGCGTTAGTATCTGATAACACCAAATCAGTAAAAGAATAAAAATTGCACTACGAAAGATTTCCATGAATAGCTTGTTTTTGCACTTCCTGTTTTCCCTGCTTGAGAATTTCTGTCCAATAAATGGATGACCTTAGCACACGTGTAGTTTTGTTTACAATTTCTGGTTCACTTGCAAAAAGGGCAGTGCGAAAGCGAACCGCACCAAACAAACAAAAAAATAAATCAACATTGTATTTGGTCCTGACCAAAGCAAGTGAACTAGCGGACTTTCCTGGTGTGAATACACCCTCAGTCTGTCCATGTGAATTAAATTATTTGTCTTATTTCTTGTATCTTGTTTTAGACCAACTACAAATACATCTATACAGTGCATCTGTATGACAAAGGGAGACTAGTACAGTTTAGCATAATGCTAGCAACCCAAGTTTTGTTCGCTGTGTTGATGTAGTTATTGTTAGAACACATCAAAATGTTTGTCCTTTCTTTGAATTTGATTTACTATTGGCAATCAGAGGTACACTTCAACCGATTTTTGTAATTTGAATAGTATTTTAATGTAATATGCACAGTAAGATACTGTAAAATATGTATACAGTATTTTACTGTAAACAGCAAAGGGTTATGGGGAAATATACGGTCACTACTGTATTTCTTCACTACTGTAAATGCATTTACAGTAGTGAACTTGCCCGTGAAAAACTGACCAATGGCAAGGGAGATTTATGTTAAGGTGTTTTTTTCTTTTCTTTTTTTACTGTTTGGTGGAAATGGCGGTAAAAGGGCAAAAATGAAATGATGGACTGTTAACAAAAAGGTTAGTATATTATTTATATTTATATGCAAAACAGAGATATTTTAAGATGTTTTTACTTGTTAAAAGCAAACATTATTCATCTTCTCATTTTTCATGTCGGGAGTTGGAGCCTTTTTTTCTGATTGATTGCTGACATAACGGTGATAACATCGACTGATGAGTAAGTTATTGTCACCAATATTAGCCGAAATAAACTTTAGTTAAACCAAGAAACATAACGTTTGTACGTTTCGCTGCCCTTTATTTCAAGTTAGCTAATCTGGCGAGTCGTTACTTAATCTTAACAGCGAACTAACGTGAAATACTGAGGTAAAGCGAGTTAGGCAACACCATTGTTTAAGTGGAGATTTTAAACCGTATTTTCAAGTACTTCTTTTATTTATTTTCAAATTTGTAGTCTGGATGTCATCTGCAACGTCGAAGGTGTATTTTGAAATCTCTTCTTGTGAATGCCATAGTATTGATTATAACATTGACTGGTAAGTTAATGTTCTCC